AGCGCGCTCGCCGGGCCCCGCAGCCTACGACGTGGAGGACTGCTACAACTCGCGCTTCCCCACGGCGCCCGGAGTGCTCATCCAGGGCGTGCGGAGACCCAAGCGCCACGACACAGGCCCGTTCTGCTCCATCTAGGGCCCACCGGACACAGCCGGCCCGGCCAGTTATCACATGGACCCGACCCCCCTGGGGGCCTTCCCACGCCTCCCTCTGAAACTGGGAGCCCCTGCTCTGGCCGTCTAACCACCTGGGCACCCCTGATCCACCTTCCTGGCCGGCTAACCCTTCTGTGAGCCGTGGGCGAGGGCCCTGCCCACCCCGCTACAGAGATGCTATTGGTTCTTCCCAACTCTGTCGTGTGCCTCGCTGCCACCCCTCACCCTGATGATGTGTCTCCCTGGCAGGGTCTCCCTTTGCCTCCCCTCCGGTGCTCTCCTCTCTAGGATGGGTGGGTGGCAGCCTGAGACTTCCTGGCCCGAGACAGTATGGGAGGGGTCCCTCTGGGCAGTGCAGGACACCCCCCCCCAGAGGACCAGGCCAGCTGCCAGTCTACCCAAGAGCCAGACTGCTTGCTGAGCGTAGAAATGGACTTTTGGGGCAGAGGTGGGGCCAGGTTCCCTGAACTGCCATTTTGAGACCACATCAGCTTGCCCAGCCTCTAGGGAGGGCCCAGAGGACTAGCTCATCAGGGCCTGGCCCCTCTGCCCAAAGACCCTGCAAACTCGCCCAGGGCCGGCCGTGCAGGCCAAGGCACAACCGCCAGATTCCCTGGGCCTTGCCGGGTTAGGGCCCTGTCCTGTTGCAGTCGCCTGGTCATTGGGTTATCAGCCCGCCCTCCTACCTAGGGGTGGGCCCCAAGACAGCAACAGCTGTTCCTATGGTGGCCCACGGAGGCCAAGTCCCAGGGACTCCTAGAGCATTCACCTGCGACCTCTAGGGCTGAGCCAGCTGTGGATCGAGTCCCAGCACCCCAGGGAATGGGTGGGATCGCAGAGCTGTGGGAGCCCTGCCCAGAGCTGCACCACCAGCAAACCCTAGGACTCAGAGCCAGAAGTGGGACCAGCAGAAACGATGGACCGACCTTTCCAGCTGGGCTGAGGAGAGAGGGCTTCCTGGAGGAGGAAGTGGAGGAATGGGCTTTCAAGGAGGAGCAAGAGGTTGCTGAGCAGCAGGACGGGAATTTCTAGCAAAGCTTGGAAACCAGGACACATGAAAAGGAAGAGGGAGTGATGTTTGGTGTGTCCGGCTTGGGGATACTGGGCTGGTGGGATGGAAGCTGACCTGCAGGGATCGGAGGGACTGCAGATGCTGGGTCCAGGGGCTTGCACTTAGCAATAGGGAGCCCACTGAGGGTGCAGAGCAGGCAGTGTCCCCCAGCTCCGGGAGCTGCTGGCATTGCGGGGACTCACATCCACAGCCTCAGCCTGAGGGCCTACCCCCTAGGGTTAGCCTGGGGGGGTGATGCTCATGGCAATGAGAGGACAGCCATCCCTGCCCACTCCCACTGCCAGCCCAGGTCTCTGTGGACACCCCCCACTGGAAGCACAGGCAGGGAAAGGGCAGCTTGCACCTGGTGGGCCCTGGTGCAGGGAGCCTCTAGGGTGGCGGTGCTCCCTTCCCTCAAACAATATTCTGTTGACCATAAAACAGAATCGAGGGGGTAGTCCATCTCCAAAAAGGGTTCATTCAGGAAAAAGAAAGGCTGCAATGGGTAAGTGCAGACATGAGCACAAGGCACAGGAGAAAGTTTAAGTACTTCTCAGGGGGAAGTGGAAGCTAGAGGGCAGGGCTGTCACAAACCCGGGGCCCTGTTGTAAGCACAGCCATTCCTGTAGGGCGCTCACCATGACATGGAGCTAGACAGGCTCCCAACCTGGAGAGTGGTTTCTGAGCTGATGAAGAGGGAGGGTGGGGAAGAGCCCCTGTGGTTCTTGAGCCCCATCACTGGGAACTGGGAACAAACGGAGGTTGGCTGGAGGGCTGAGGGTGCCTGAAGCGCTTATGATTGTAACGGGCCTTTTTCCAGGGTCCTGGCTCTTTGCAATCATAGTAGAAACTAGGGGGCTTAGGGTTTGGCTAGGGACCTTCATTGGCTGGACTGAGTATTAAAAATTTTAGAAGTTTTTCAGGTGACTCATCTTCGATGTGAGCAAGCTGATTTGCCAAATTAAATCTGTAGTGGACACCGTTTCCCACTGCATCCTGGTCTTTTAAGAGAAGGGAAAGGTCTCTGTTCAGCTCCTTAACAAGCACAGGGATGAGGGTTACCTGAGTGGAAGGAAAGCCAGAATGTTCTTAAAAAACATCTGAGATTGTTTATGAGAGTCACGAACAGGTTCATCAGGCTTCTGTGAGCAAGTCAGAAATTTGCTCCCATCAACGGGCTTTGGGAAAGGCCACTGGAATTGTTCGTGGAGGTCTCCAGCCAGTGTTCTAGGTTTTGCCAAAAATCAAGAGGTATTTAAAAAAAAAATTGTTTAATATGTCTTTACTGATTTCAGAGAGAGGAAGGGAGAGAGAGACAGAAACATCAATGATGAGTCATTGATCAGCTGCCTCCTGCACGCCCCCAACTGGAGATCAAGCCCACAACCTGGGCATGTGCCCTGACTGGGAATCGAACCGTGATCTCCTGGATCTTAGGTCAATGCTCAACTGCTGAGCTATGCCTGCCGGGCCAGAAGTATTTTTTTAAAAATGTTATTGATTTTAGAGAGGAAGGGAGAGGGACAGAGAGGTAGAAACATCGATGTGACACAAAACATTGATGAGCGGCCTCCTGTAGACTGGGATCAAACCTGAACCCCGGGCATGTGCCCTGTCTGGGAATCGAACTGGGGAACTCTTGGTTCATGGCTTGGCGCTCAACCACTGAGCAAAACCGGTCAGGACAGAGGTTTGTTTTTCTGAATCCCTTTCAGGATGGTTATATCATCTATGTCTCATCCAATGCCGAGCCAGGTCTTCGACTAGCAAATGAACTAGCTGATACAAATCAGGAAACCCAGGCTGGTAGGTTTGAGTATGTCAACTCTTCAGCAAACCTGAGGATCCTCAGTCACCTCGGGCTTCTCTAACTACAGCTCACCAGCTTCAGTGCAGAGAACGGATGAAATTTAAGGTCTATTGCGACCCACAAAGGGTTTAACTTTAAATTTGGAGAAAGGCACCAGAGGCAAGGAAGCAGGTAATGGAAGGTCAGATGGTGTTGGAGTTGGAGCTGGGGAAGGAGGGCCTAAGGGCTCCAGAGAAAGTCGGAGAACATGAAGCAAAGGTGAGGGGCAGGACAGGGCTGTGCTGGAGGCAAAGGGGCAGCTTCTGAAGCCTCCCACCCCCTATAAAAATTCAGTAGCCTCTGTTAATTCTAAAACTATTTTGTAAAGAGGCAACTTCAGATTCTTGGTAACGTTTATATGCCTCAAAATACCACTTAAAATAGGCATTCCATTCATCTTTGCTAACGTTAGCGCTGTTATTGTCCAATTAGGTTTTAAGAAAGTAAGTCTGGCCCTGGCCGGTGGGGCTGGGCTGGGTGGCGTGTCCTGTACACAAAAAGGCGGCGGGTGAGATTCCCAGTCAGGGCACCTACCCAGGTTGCGGGTTCAATTCCCAGTTGGGGGCACCTGGGGGAGATAACCAATCGATGTTTCTCTCCCCCTTCCCCTCTCTAGAATCATAAAAAAGCCTGGAANAACCAATTGATGTTTCTCTCCCCCTTCCCCTCTCTAGAATCATAAAAAAGTCTGGACACCTCACAGGTTCCCCACAGGGACCACTGATCATTCTGAATTACTTTGGGTCGGTCAGACCTGTCCATTTAGTTAAATATGCCCATGAAGAATGACCTCGGCTTTCAAACATGAGATCCTGGAGGAGGCGGGGTTGTCTTAACACATTTCAATAACAGACCCCACTTTCCACAGACTTCAGAGCGCGGGCCAAACGCAATCTGCAAGCAGCCCAGCCACCCGCAGGTCAGACACCGCGCATCTCGCTCTAGAACAGGCTGGCCACGGAAGGGTCAGGCCAAAGGCTTAACAAAGCCCGATCCAGGAGGCAGCAGGCTCCCCCCAAAGAGCCTGGCCAACCGCTGAGCGCGTCCCAGGGGTCAGTCGGGTCTGCGGCCGAAGCGAAGGTGCTGAGCGGGTTTCAGCGCGAACAGGCCCTGTTCCAAGAAGCACCGGCAAAGGCCGGCGGGTCTCGGGCGCAGCTGCCCCGACGGTCACAGTATC